ATCAACACCTTTGTTTATAGATGTATGAAATCGGCCTGTTTTTCAGTGTAATCCTGTTTCTCTGACTGTGACTGGCTGGATGTGCTTTCTTTCATCCTCTGACATGGGAGCTCTGTCTCAGAGCTCATCTGCCTGGCTGTGTGTTTTCTGGACGGGGCCGCCTTTTACAGTTGCTCTCTATATCTCTGCTTCTGTCTCCTTGAATCCCAGTCAGCCTCAGCAGATGGCCGCTCATACTGAGCCTGGTTCTGCTGTTTCTTCCAGTTAAAAGGGAGTATTTTCTCTCCACTGTCCCTACAAGCATGCTTAGTGTAAGGGATTGCTGAAGAGTCAATGAGTCGATGCAATGAACCAGTTTTACTCAGAAAATTTTGAATCAATTTGACTGGATGATCTGGTGAACTGTGAAGTGCCTTGAGACGACATGTGTTGTGAATTGACGCTATAGAAATAAACTGAATGCAATTGAAATTGAATTGTTTTGTACTGATAGCTGATATTTTCCTGCAGGTTAATTCTGGTAGAATGCAAAATCCAGAAATTCGTCAAGTATGGGATTTGTCCAAGTCTTGAGGAAGCAAAGCAATCCGTTGTATTTACTCCGGTTATCTTTTTCCAATGTTTTATTTGTTCTATTATCTGATCCATCAGACAAAGATGAGATGTGAAATCTATGAGGGTCAAAGGAAAGCATGAACCTGTAGCGGCCACCTTACCACATCCCAGTCAGGTTCTGCATGGTCAGCGCCCAAGTACGACACGTACGAAGCAAAGCCTTCATTTAGCCAGACCTCATTCCACCAGCGCAGTGTCACCAGGTTACCAAACCACTGCAGAATAATGGCAGAACATTTGTTGGATCAATAATCTTTCAAGATTCTAGTTTTAGAAAGGAAACCAGTTACCATATGTGCTAGTTCATGAGCAATGATGGTGACTGTGGTTTCTTTATTGCTGTTGGATGAGGTCTCAGGATCATAGAGGAGGTTGGTTTCTCTATAGGTAACCAGTCCCCAGTTCTCCATTGCACCAAAATAAAAGTCTGGTAGAGCGATTTGATCTGTAAATTAGATTCAAAGAACACAAGAAAATCATGTAGGGTTTGTTTGGGTTTTAGGCATTAAACTGAGCTCCATCTCACGCCACTTTAAAGAAAACTCACCTGATTTCTTTAGGGGGTAAGATATGTTATAGTAGGACTGGAAGAAGTCCAGTATGGGTCCAGTTACATTCAGGGCGTAGTTCCCCTGATTGATAGCCTTCCTGCGAGCCCAGATTCGAATCTAAACACAAAGCAGCAAATTTACAAATATCCCAGGTTACACATCATCATATTAAATGTCTAAAATATGTATATGGGAAGTTAGACCTGAATGTTTCCTTGTGTTGTGTTCAAGTAAGTGTAGTCAGAGACGACGATGGCCAGCAGGTAGGTGGACATCTTCTCAGTGGCTTCAAACTTTGTCTGCAGTAAAGCCTCTCCATCAATAGTGATAGCTGCATGATCTAAACAGTGCAAATGGTTAAAAAAAAATTAAAGATCTGATCAGAGTAATTAATGACATGATGTCCGATTTAAATGTAAAGTAGAAGAAGAGTAATCTTTGTTGTGCTTTGCACTAACCAGAACAAAAAGTAAACACATGAAAAGGTTAAAATCACTATTGGATCTCTGAACATTTTCCATTTCTCTAAATATAT